AAAACGGACGGGCCTTCGTCTTTCCTGAAGTCGGCTTTGCTCTTCGCAAACACGTGACCGGGACTGGCATTTTCTTTCCACTTGGTGTTACTTCAGAATTAGGTGTTGCCGAAAGCCCTCAGGAGTGATTGGGGGGTGGGGGGGGGTGTAATGACGGGGCAAAAAAACTCAAACCTTGATACCATGTTGGCGGCCATCTCATCCTGCGGGCCTCAAATCGGAAATTCCCTCGTGCGAGGGTGAGTCGCCGTCTTCCATTCGTTTGCCAATCTTGACTTGAGTCGAATTGGGTCGCCTCACCGTGCGGCGGGTCTCGTTTGTGAATGCGTGCCGAGTACCAAACGGGCTTGAAATGCTTCATTTCAAGGGGAAATTTGGAAGTGAGCACCTTTTGCCATTTGGGAAGTTGCCCGTGTGTGTGTTTTTTCGTTTCAACTCCCCCCCAGTCCCCGAAGCCCCCTTTTGGGTTCATTGGCAAATCGTCTCCGGGACAAGTGGGCACCCCGATTGTGAGCGCTTACCAGCCGGTGCTTGCTTGGTGCTTGCAGAGTGGACGGCAAGGAAGACGCGGGTGCGCCGCAGCGGAGGCTCTCCTTCGACTGCAAGACGGCCCGGCCCGTCTTCCCTCAGCAAAGCGACGGCGTCCTCGGTCACGCCGGCGACAACGTGGAAAAGGTTCGTCGTCGTCGTCTCCTTTCAAGCCCTGATGAAAACTAACAAGCGGCTTTTGTCCCGCAGGCGTCCCATCGACTGGGCCAGATCACGTCGGATGAGAACCTTGCGGATTCGGTTCATTCGCAACACTTTTCAGGTGAGACCGGCTGCCGCGATATGATGGGGATCGACGTCGAAATAAGCACGTTCCGCTTCCGGTCCTTCTGAGCTCCATCCGACGCGTTGTCTCTCTGGCGCGTTCCGCCGTCGAGCCGCGGCTCAAACGCCCATCGTCGGTTTTGCCGTTCGATTCCTTGCTGTCAGACAACCGCCGGCGCACAAAAAAAAGCGATTGGAGCGTTCTGCAGTCAAAAGTTGACACGAGATCACATTTCAAGCTCCACAGCCACCGTTTGTTGTTTAGTTGAGGAGGAGTCGTTGCAAACGGCAAAGTTGAATTCCAAATGGAAAGTCCTGGAACCGTTTCAGAGGACTTTGCTCATGTCTCTCCCCCCCACCCCCCCACAGGTTCCTGCGCATCCACCTACACGCTGGACAGCGGCATCGGCACCTTCCCGCTCCCCGACGGCGGGGCGACCGGACGGGGGCCGTCCAAGAGCAGGGCCGAGCAGCGGCCCTCGGGCTCGCCGGGGAGGGCCGGGCGACGGGCCCGCACCTTGGACCGGGAGCCCGCGTCGCAGGACGAGTGCTACGCCGCGCACAAGCGGGCCCTTCCCGACGCGCGGCACCTCTCCAAAATGGAGGCCAGAGGCTCGGCCGGCGTCCTTGGCGAAGGTGAGCGGATGCTGCTCTGTCAAGGAGGGGAAGGAAGCTCAATTTCGGCCGACATCATCAAATGTGTCCGTTTATTTAGACGTGATTCTACTCTGCGTTCCTTTTCAAGAAAGTGATCTGTGAGCCTGTCAGACCAACAAGGCGTCTTTTCCAGGGACTTAACTAGTGTCCTACAACTACAGCAAGTACAATCAAACCCGCCAGAAATAAAAGATGAATTTGTCGCTAGTCGTTTTCAACAAAGAGAGTGTCGGCGATTGGCTCATTTCGCTGTCAATCAAGCAGAGATGCCGCCTCAGACAGATCATCCAATCATCAGGCCGGCCGATACGCGCCCACTGCCCGCTGACTCCCAGAGACGCTGAGCGTCCGATGGGCGGGACAAAACCAACATTTGACTCATCTCCTTTCAATGCATTGGAACTACTTTCTCGAAGCTCAGCGTTCGCGCTGTTTAAAGCACAGCGAAGCTGCGGGAATGAATGAGAAGAGAGTCGCGTCGTAACCAGTAATAAGAAGCTGATTCGGAACAAAAGTTGAGCGCGTTGTAGCGCACATTTAGTCAATGACTTATTTTTGGACTTTTTAGGGGAAGCTGAGCTTCCCTTGCCGTCTTCGAGCAATCGCCTCTGGCGCGCATGATTGCCTTGCGGTGCTGCATCAACCCCGTTTGCAGGAAAAAAAAAAAAGAAAAAAGGGTGAGTTCAGTTCCGCATCAGAAACCTTTTTTTTTTTGATCCTCCATTACATGAGAATTCTTTTTCTCAGCGTCACACAAGTATGCTCGGCTTGGACTGAAAAGGTCCACAGATACTTTGGTTAAAACTTGGATTTGTTCCAATTGTGTCTGAAACGGGACACCTGATATCGTTGACAAAGCTGAGCATCCTTTGATACTTCATCCGTCCTACTTTGCCATCGGGCAACGTTGGAATGCGTCGTCTCATGTCAAAGCGTTTTCATGACATTTATGCAGTGGTGGCAAGTTGAGTTGGTGTGGTGGGCCTGCGATGAACGAATGCTCCGGTGCCCCCGGCGCATCTGCTTTGGGAGATTGCCGGGCCGCATGTCGTCTTTTTAAAATTTGACCGATATCATTGGCGCCATTTTACGGACCCGCGGCGATGGCTCATTGACAGTGCGGAAAAATCCTCAAACGGATTCCCTTCCCGGTTTGATAACGTCGCGCCAGTCCAAAAAGCAGCAAAAATGTCAACGATGGTCTCCAAACTTGCTCTGTTATGACGTCGACGGATTGAACCTTTTTCCTGGCGTGCGGTCACAGCGCTCGGCGTTGCCTGTGTCCGTTGACAGACAAAGAGGCCCCCGGGGCACACGTGTTCTCCCCTCGCTCCAAGACGTGGACCTTCCCCAACCTCAAGACCCCGGCAGGACCCGCGGACGTGTACCTGGCCGTGGAGGAGGAAGACCGGGAGGCGGTGTCCTTCGGCACGCCCTTCAGAGCGGTGCGTGCGTTTGCCTCATCCTCACGCGTCACATTCCACACGCCGCCACCCTCTCGCATTCATATGAAACGTGACAGGTTTCATCTTAACATGTGAAACTTGGAAGGGGGTACCTCATGACGTCGCATTCAACTGTGTGTCTTCCGTATTGGAGAGAGGACGGGGGCGGGGACAGGCCCTCGCATCTTACGTCGTCTGAAAACACGGGAGTCCTCTCTCGCCGACGAATAGTTCATCAGCGGGATGCGACTCATTCCGATTGCCGTAGCCCCCCTAGCGTGCGTTTTGGGCCCGCTGTTTACATAAGTCCTCCGGGTGGGTCACTTGCGGGGTGCCGTCTTCATCCGCGTCTCAAAAGCAGGACGGCAGAAGCCATCGGCAGCAGACAAGTACAATCGCAACAGCTCGCTGGTGTTCCATGGACGCCGTCAGGTTCAGTTCACGATCAGTTTTTTCAAACAAAAATCAACAAAAAGAAATCCACAGGCACACGTACGTGATCTCTCCATCCAGAGATGTATTCACCAGCGCTGCGTTTTAGCAAATGCATACGCGCTGATTGGAAGACACCCGTTTTGCTCGTCGGGCTTGGTTGAATTGACATATGATGTCGTCGGTCTCTTGGTTCTTTTGAGGTGAATGTCCGTTTGGAAATCCAAGGGGCTCGGCCTGCTGATTGTGTGAAGCCATTCTGATTGGACAACCACCCCCCCCCCAAAAAAAAAGGGAAAACAAATCTTCTATTACCCTCTATTACCCCCCTCCCCCCAGCTCTTAGTAAAATTTCCCACTCATGTTTTCATCCCATTTGTGGTCTTTCACATCCAGTCGTCCTGGTTAAATTGCTGGCAGAATCGTAGCGTCTCCGTTGCCTTGTTCAAGGGAGCGAGCCGTTTGCGACACCCGTCCGTCAATCATTTGTCCAAAATACCGACGCGGATTTGTGAAAAGTGCCATTTGGACGCGGGCGGTTTTGGCTCGACGCCATCGAAGCGTCGGCCCAAACGCGCGGTCGCTCAACGTCCTCCCCGCCATCTCGATCCTCCTCAGAGCTTGAAGGCCGGCGGCCCGTCTTCCAGCCGCGCCGGCGAGCTCGGCGGCCCGCCCGCGCCGGCCCAGTCGGGACTGAGCCGCCGGGGGAAGACCCGCGCCCCCGCCGTTGCCGAGGTGAGCCGGGACGCCGGGCTGGAGCTGCTCAGGGAGCGGCCGGAGGAGGCGCTGTCGCCCGGCCGGCCGCGGGTCCCGGAGACGCCGGAGTCCCTCAGCGATTCGCTCTACGACAGTCTGTCTTCGTGCGGCAGCCAGGGATGAGGCCCCCCCCCCCCCCGCCGGGACGGAAACTCAAAAGCGCCCGAGGTCCGCGCCAGACTTCTCCTCCTCAGGAACCCGCCAAGATGGAGCCGCGCGCGTGGGACCGCAAACGCGTGAGCGAGCTAACCGAGAGAGCACAAGCGGCGGCATCGTCCTGCTTCTTTTGTTGCGCTCCGTTTTGTACTTGAGGCGCTCCAAAAGTTGAAAAAGAACAAAGAATGTTCATCGGAAATGTTTTCCCTCTGCTAAATCGCTCCGTTTGTATGTACAAATGATTTGATGTGATCATTTTGCGACCACCGAAGTTTGTCAGGGGAAAGCAAAAGTCAAGTGTTTGAAAAGGCATTTCAAGGTCATCTATATTATCTACCAGCAATAATAACAAAGAGAAATGGCTACGCTAGTCCACGAATATTTCTATTTATTTATTTTTGAATGTACATGGGTCTCATCTTTTTGTAATCTTTGGGTGAAAATGGCTTAGTGTAGAATGTCAACATGTCTCGCTGTTCATCCTTTAGATGAGAGCTCCCCTGGCCGCCCTTTTTCAACTTTCTATTAAAAGCCTTTCATTTTAGTCCTCGCGTACCCTTCTGGGGGGGTTCCCCGTGCGCCAAGGTTGGAGCCCTTGCAGGCAAAAGGCCTGTTCACAACGTGACGCCGGTCAATTATTTGCCACGGTCACATCTGACTATACAATGAAGGAAACGGGAAATCTCTTGCCAAAGCGTTTGCCCCCCCTTAGTCAACACCGCACCTCACTCGCACCATGCGTGCTCTCGACACATTTATTCGGGCAAATGTATCAAATGTGTAGTTTAGCATTGACATGAACAAACTCAATTCTTCACAGTATGCGCTGGAAAACGGAAGGTTAGCTTCACTTCATTTGGCAAACCGTCCGACATCGGCGGAAGGGGAAAAGAAAAAGCGCGGCATTTAGTCAAGTCCAAGAGAATTCAAAGCATGACCCGCGAGGACATCGGAGAAGGGCATCCAGTGTCAAAACCGCGCTCGGCTAAACATTTGAGAAGAAAAAAAAATAAAGGATCACGCGCGACGCCGCTACTCCGGCAACTCGCTAAATGGGGGGGCCGGCGTCGTTAAGCGACGCTGGCCGAGACTCCCCTCTACGGGCCGAGCGGCGGCCCGCACGGACGCACAAACAATCACCCCGTGGAAATTAAAAAGGAAAGAAAGATCAAAGCATTTGCCGTCCGACCGTCAGACGGCAACAAGTCGGCCGCAGAAATCCAATCCAAAGTCACGGGCGGGCGGCGCGGCGCAAAGCGGTCTACTTCTTCTCCTTCTTCTTGTCCTGGAACAAGCAAAGAGCAGAAACGAGATGAGGCCCCAGATGACCCCCCCTGGCGCGCCCTTTTCCCGACGCACCTTGTCGCCCAGGGCGAGGATGACCATCAACTTGCGGAAGATGGTGAGGAAGTCCAGGAACAAGTCCACACAGTGCCTGCGCGAGGCGACAGCGCACCAACGTTTACGCCGGCGTTCGGGTGCCACGGCAAGAGGGGG